AGAATCCTCAGACAGGACTAAGGATTCTTGAAAAAATAATGATGCTCCAAGGTTATTCTGCAGTCAGTCTATGCTATTCAAATGCAAGGGACTTTGTAGATGGCTTCTTGATATGGATACTTGCTTCTGACTTTTTTTGAAAGTGCAAAATACAAATTAATACTGAATCAACTCTCAACATTATGATGAAGGATGAACCTTCCAGTTCCGTGGTTCCTTCCTGAAACTTTCCCTTTCTTTTTCTACATCTACCCTACCCCATAGAATTAATATAGGCTCAAAAGGAATGCAGTCTCATCTTGGAAGGGCCCATTCAGGCCCCTGAGTCAACCATGCAGGAATCCAAAACCTCTCAATAGATAGCTGTATAGTAGACAGTGCTTGAAATCCAGCAAATGAGACTCCAGCATCTCTGTGGATAATTAGCTGTCCTGTCAAACTGTTCTAGCTGTAGGAAGTTTTTTCCATCATTCAGTCAGAATCCAATTCCTTGTCTATGTAATGTCCTTTCAGATATCTGAAGAGTGTTAACAGATTGTAGAGAGTAAGGAAAATGACCTGAATAGAGATAGGCAAGATCAGTCACCAAAGCAATGAGGGAAAAAGCATATTTTAAGTCCACAACAAGCAGAAAATATGTAGAAGAAACTCAGAGAGACATCTCCCTAATTCACATGAGTATAAGGAGTTGGGGGGGGGGGAGTTCAACATAATCAGGCTTACAAGATTTTCTTATTATAGCCACTCTCAATAAAAGTAGTTTTAGCCTTCCTGTAGGATTGATTCCTGGTGTGATCTACCTGGTGGCTGACACAAATGCTCCTTTAGTAGTCTTTTCTCAAGGTTTAACATGTCAGCTCTTTCAGTCTTTCTTCATAGGGCATAGTTTCTAGTCCCTGATTATTTTCATTGTTGTTCTGAGAATTTTTGAATTCTCCTTAAAGGTGGTGTCCAGGACTGGCCACAACAGTTGAGATGGAATCTGACCAAAGCAGAATATGTTGGAATTATTATTTCCTGTGATTTAGAAAGTATACTTCTGTTGATGTAGCTTAAAATCACATTTGCCTTTTTTGCAGCCACATCACACAGCTAGCTACTCTTCAGCTTGCAATCAACTAAGACCTGTTTGCAAATACCAAACCAGATATCTCCCATCCTATATTTCTGAATTGGATTTCTGTTTCCCAAATGTAGAATTTTCTACTTGTCTTTGTTAAATTCTGTTACTTTTAATCATTTCCTCTAAGCTATCAAGATAGTTTTTGATTTTATTTTGGACTTCTAGGCTATTAGATATCCCACCCAATTCTGTGACATCTGCAGAGTTGATAACTATTCCACCATCCTTTTCAACCAAGCACAGTGGAAGAGTTGAAGAATACTGAACCCAAGACTGAATGTGCCCCTCCCTTAATATTGCTCCCCAGTTTGATGAGGAATCATTGATAGATACATGCCTTGAGCCAGCTATATATCCACTTAATTATCATCTCACCCACACTTAGCTAGCTTGCTGATCAGCATCTCACAGGGGTCTTCAAAATATATTATGTCTAAGGCACATAATATATCTACAATCTATTAAGGAAGTTACCCTATAATCTGGGAGGTTTTTAAAAATAAATGCCCTTCACAATCATGAAAACTAGAACATTGGTATAAAGAAAGAAACAGTGGATATAATCAAGATGTTCAATTCCATAGTTAATACTGGAAGTGTAGAACTGCAGTTTATCAAGAGCCATTTTGCCCTTGTATGATTTCCCCCTTTGGCCTTATCCTGGATATCTTTTTATTCCCTCCAGGACTGCTCCGTTGCCTCTTGCAAAATAATCCGCTGTGACATTTTGTCACTGAAGATACAAGAAAACCCACTGGAGTTCAGGATCAAAGGAGACATCAATTTCCACTGGACATCTCAGGTACAGAGGCTGAGTTTCTTGAATTGCGAGATATTCACAAGTAGTCCTGCTCCCCCCCAGAGCTAGAAGAGTCTCCATGCTGGGAAGGAGGATTTCCTGCTTCAACTTGCCTTATTGATTCTTTTTTTCTGGTGGAACCATGTGGGCAAATAGGTTATCATCTTTCAGAGATAATGGATCTCTCTTCCAGATCCAGCAGAAGAAAATTATTTTGGTGAGCTCTGCACAGATTTCTTATGACACGAAAAAATACACTCAGGAGGAGGGCTTGTCACAAATTCAGGTAATGGAGAAGGGGAAGATGTGGGGCATGGACAGGGACTGAGCCTCAGGGCTTTCTCCCCAAACCTTGGAGGGGAGTGAGGTCTAATGGATTAGAACTGGTCCTTGACATCTGGATTGTCAGACTGTGCCCAACTTCTGTCATCTTTCTCCCCACCATTCCCAGATGCAAACAATAGTGGAGCGGATCGAGATCTACAACAGCCTCCCGGTGATCATGGGCAGCTCTTTTGGGGGCTTAATCCTTCTAGTTCTGATAGCTGCAGCCTTGTATAAGGTGAAGTGGAACCTGGGGTGGGAAAGAGTACAGAACTGAATCCTAGCTACCCCTCCCTATTAGGTCCTGAACTGCAAAGAGGAAATTATGCCTGCCTGTCCAAAAGGCTTCTCACCAAAGGAGTTATCTTAGTTGTTCACCAGCCTTTCTTGGGGGTTGGAATCAGGGTCTTGGCCAAATGTCAGAGAGTGATTTTCATAGCCCTCTGAGCCTTGGCAGCTCTCTTACATGCTAAGAGCTGGTGCCCTTTGTTTTGCTTGAGGAGAAATCTCATATTTGCTTTCTGTTTGTCTTCCATTTCTTTCTCTCTCTAGGTTGGGTTCTTCAAACGTCAATACAAGCAGATGCTGGAGGAGGCCGGAGCTGAGAATGAGGCTGTTGGTCCATCCTCACAAAATTTAGAGTCATCTCCTCCTAACAAAGACATTGTCTCCTAATAATCCTGCCAGGTCTTTTCAGATGTTCTGGAGCTCTGTTCTGAGAACCTAAGAAAAGGTGTGCCAGATTAGTCCATCAACCAATATATTACAGTGCCCCCAAGATGCTTCAGAAAAGCCCAGAAGACAGAATTAAAGCAGAATCCATCATTTCTTCTTGCTCATAGTAACTGATATTTACTCTCTGCCTCTAAACACAAGATATCTGCTGATTGATAGACCCTGCCTACATGTATATTTCATATCCCTTTTAAAATTCATCTAAGCTGATGGCTCTCTTTCTGAGATATTCTGATATCTTTCCTTGACTGGAAAGATCCAGCTTTTGACATCCATGCTGAGAAGTAGTAACACCTTGTTTTGAGCATGCTGGTTGAAATCACTTTCTTTCTTGAATGGAGAACATACATGCCTCTTCCTCTCATTTGGCCTTGAGAGGCAAGAAATCATGGAAAAGATGGTTGGTCTTCTTCTCCTGATGAAACCCTGCCAGTTTAAGGTTCTTCCTCGTGACTGCAGTTGATCAGCTGGCGGAAAAAACGGCTAGTATAATTTGAAATGTGCTGACAGCCATGAAAACTGCCTCATCAGTAATGAAGCTTGAGATGGATCCTGTCCACACAGATTTACTTTAGGACAATTCAAGGATAGCGGTTGGTAGATTCCCTAGGCTTTGTTTCCCCTCCCACCCAGGGCCAACCGCCAGGGGGAGAAACCTCCATCAGTCACTCTCCTTAAAGTGTGGTAGATGGCTTGGCTGAGTGTGGGTGGTGCCTGGAAAGAAGGGCCAGTGCGTTGAGCTATTGTCCAACAGAGGTTTACCATTCTTCTAAAAGGCTGGCAAGCAGGTTCTGCTAGAAGGGGGAACTGGCAGAACTCTTATCAATTTCATTCCAGTTCTCAAACATCCCAAATGGCTAAGAGTTGCTACAAGGAATGACAGTGCCCACAGCTGGTGGATACACTTGGTAATGCCTGAAAGTAGATAGTGGGGTACACAAAATGTTGTTACAGTAGGGAAAGTGGTCCTGTCTCTCTCCCAAAGTACTAAAAACAATAGAAAACACATGCAGAACCTCTTGCTGAAACAATCAGCAGAAAACCTTTAATAAACTCATTTGGGACAAAACAATCACATCTCTTTCCCCATTTTAATCAACGGGTCTTTTGAAAGATACATGGAATACATGCCTGGCGGTCTTCCAAAAGACCGATACACCAACGTCTATAAGGAACCCATGTCGTGTCTAAGTGGCACTTTGCAATGTGAGGGTCAGGGGTTTGGCTGATGCCAGCTGCTGACTGCATCATCCCCCAAATTGTGAATGAGTTGCTGTAGATAGTTTGTGAACCAAGGCTTGTCTTGAGGAAAGACAAAGACAGTACTATACTTTAAAACTGGACCGACAAAGGACAGATCTGGGTTGTCTCCATGGGAGTGGGGTGAGGATGAAACAAAGGCTGTATCATGAAGACAGGTCCTCTAAAATGTTTAGTGTGGTGTCTTTGGGCTCTGGTTAGCAGGACGTGCCAATGAACCCTTCAGTTTCTGCCTCAGATCAGTCCAGTGGATTTTCCCCTGCTTTCTCCAGAGAAAATTGACAACTACCCTATCTCCTTTTCTCCTAATTTAGCCTTCAGTACTTAATTTGCTCCTGCTTTCAATTGTCATTCTACTTCTTAAACTTTCTTCAGCTCTTTCCTTCCTGTGTCTACTATCTTCCTGTTTCTTTAACAATTAGAAAGAAGACAGGAAACAAGTTTATTAAGAGCAGGGGTTAAAAGAAAGGGCTTTGCTCCGAAAGCATGGCAAGGAAAAGGAGGTCTTGGGGCTCCGTTCCCAATCTCTGCCTGATCCTACCCGCGAGGGAGGACAGTGAAGACCAGTCGGAGTCTTGAAGCATTAGCTGGTCTGCCAAACCAGCTCTTTCAAATCAGCCCCTCCCTGTCTCTCCAATCAGCAGCTTATTGACCCTATTGCTTTATTGTTGTTGTTGTTTAGTCGTTAAGTCGTGTCCGACTCTTCGTGACCCCATGAAC